GGAGAGCAGCAGCTCGTGTCATGCCCATTGTTTTTCACCCTACAAGCACTCACTATAGAGAACAAATAGATCCATGGTTTAAAAAAAGGCAACCAGTTCTAAACATCAGCTAAAATAAGAGTGAATTAGGAAGACTCAGAACAAAGTAAACAAATAAATCCAACAATACTTTTTTAAAATTAATGCAACAATTACTCGTATTTAATTTATATTACTATAAATATTTATTTTAAAATTTACTTTTTTTGCTATGAGAATAGTAACAATAAAGAAAGAGAAAACAATATTATTCTTGATATTCATTGTTTACTAAGGTTTTTGAGAATAGAAATTGTATTCATTTTATTCTCTAAAATATGGATAGAAGAACATATATAAACAAGGAAACTGTCTAATTTAATTCCTGCAATCAATAAAACAATGTTCAGAACAGCTATGACTCAACTAAATTAGGAAANATAAACAAGGAAACTGTCTAATTAAATTCCTGCAATCAATAAAACAATGTTCCGAACAGCTATGACTCAACTAAATTAGGAAAACACTAAAAACAATGAAATAAAATCAGATTTATTAGCACCAAGTTTTTCAGCACTCCCCCTCAAGCAAGCAGGTGTGTAGATGTCATGTATTCCCAACTTGTCTATTATAGAATTAAATGAACATTGGGTTTCTCTACTAGTGGACTGCCATTTGGACATAAATCTGCACTCCCACTTAGAATGGTCCCGGTTTAAATCTTTTACTTTATGAAGTGCATATCTACCTGAACGTACTTTGTTTTGTCGTGTTGAAATGGGTTGTATAGTAGCTTTGTCATCACAAGACACTGCTGTAGTTCTTTAGGCTCCAATCTTAGCTCTTTAAGAAGATTTTTAATCCATGAAACTTCACAAATCCCTAGAGTCGGTATCTAAAACTCAGCTTCAACGCTTGATCGTGCTACAACTTGTTGTTTTTCATCGAAGGAAGGAGAAGAACTGCGCCTCGTGTTTTGTAACGAGCGTGAGAAAGGAAAGGAAAATAAAGGGAAATAAAGGGAAAATAAAACGTCCGCATTTACGGCGTTCATTTGCACGCCATAAAAAGTCATATTTTTGTACGGCGTGCAAATAACGAACGCCGTAAATAGTGTAGATAATTGATTTTTAACGGCATACATATATCGCATGTCGTAATTAATCTATTTTTACAGCACGCCGTAGATGTACGCCGTAAATGATTCGAATTTAAGGAAAGGAAATGAAGGGAAAATAAAACGTCCTGTGTTGAGTTTGGTAATAAAACGTCTGCATTTACGGCGTTCATTTGCACTCTGTGAAAAGTCAACTTTTTTACAATTTACGGCATGCACATAACAAACGCCGTAAATAGTGTAGGTAATTNGTGCAAAATATTTAAGACGCTCCAAGTGCCAAATGTGACTTCCTAGTCATGAAAATCGAATCGTTGACATCTACTCCACTGTTCTAGTAACAAGCTAGTTCATGACTTTCGATGATACCCTTTAGAGATAAATAACATTATTTATTTTGTTTAATGTTATTAATTGTAGACACAATTTTCATAAGAACAATAACGGGAAAAAATATAATTTTAAAATTGGGGCATCTACAATAAATGAGGAACCGTCTAACTCATCTGCTTGAGCAGTCTCTGATGAAAATATGTCACTTCAAGTTTCTAAGTATTAGTAGAAGTCGAGAACACAATTTCAACATGTGAGGGTCATAAAACGATTT